CAGCCAGGGCGGAAGGGCGAGGGGCACAACGGGGGGGTGCGCTAAACAACGGAGGCGGGGCGGAGAGGGCACGGAGTAGAAGGGTGAAGGAGAACGCGGGGGCGGCGGTGGTCCACGGATTCACGTTGAAGGGTTCGGCGGGGGGGCGCAGTATTACACCATGTCGTGTTCAAGCTTGTCGCGCGCCTCCTTCGCCTTCAACCCCTTGGCCCCCGCCGCCCTAGAAAGCCACCTCATCTACGTTCGTGCGTATCGAACGCCCCCCCTCATTGTTCGAATTGGTACTCCCCCAAACATTCCCCCTATGTTCTTACATTGCTTTTAAGTGGTGATGGGGATGTGGGGAATTGTGGCCCGAATGTCCTCGTCCCTGAACAAAGAGATCAACGCCTTGACCCGTGTTAGAAACCTCGGAAACCAGCGCAGCGAGTGCACGCCTGTGCGAATCAGCACGTCGACCTTATGTCGCCATCCAGGGATAATCAGCGACCGAGGGAATAAAAGTTTTTCTCTGGCAACTCGGTGACGGTGCCCCATCATGGCAAACACATCTGGCAACACGTCGTTCATCTTGGATATCATATATTCCGTGCCCATGTCACTCACGATTCCGCGAACTCTGTGGCAAAACCGCCTCATGGAGTCCACGGAGCCTCCGAAAGATAAATATATTTGCCAAACGGGTGCTACAGTTTTGTGGAAAGCGCTCAACTGAGAACGCTTCAGAAGCAGCGGCGAAAACATTCGTCTTCTCATGTCGACCCCATTTCTCCGTATCAAGAAGCTTGCCGCCTGCATCTCCCAGCCCCTGCCCTGAGGGCTGCTGTCTATGTACAGGTACACGTCGATGGATCGCCAATCGAGCGTCCCGTAAAAAAGACGAGTGAGGCCCATGCATGTCCAATCTAATCGCACCCGTGCAGTCCGAAGCGTTTCTGTACGAATGTGTTGAAGAACTTGGTGCAACGAACCGTGCTCAACACCAGCGCAGCGTTCGAAGAGACGACTCCAATGAACCCCAGACTTCCACCTGTGCCGTAGTGATCGTAAGGTCGAAGAAACACCCAGCCATTGTATAGTGATGCTAGCAGGCAATCGCCGACGAGCTGACCGACCACGAGAAGGTAGAGCTGGCTCTGGCGCAACGTCTTGCACACGAGGAGGGTTGAGTCGACGAAACAATCGCAAAGACCGAGCATTCGGACCAAAATGCAGAGTCTGTCTGAAGCGGCACTTCACAGCATCACAATTGAACACAGGTTGAATCATAGAAACAACTCCGACAGCTAACATCGAGCATAACACCAGTGGGCAATAGTGAGGAGCATTTGGGCATGTGCGCATCAACGAATCCCACACATCTCGCCATGCTCCAACAGTGTCGCCCTGTACCCCGTCATTGTGATACGTACAAGGGTTCCGATCCAGCAAATTAAGAATATCCTCTGAGTTCTGCGCTTCACTATCGATGGGTCTGTCCAGCTCGATCGTCGCGTGGGCTATGTGAACCAATGCGCCTGATATCTGGAAGCGCCGAGCATCATGAAGACACGAGCCAATGATCAGATCACCATGCCCATGGCCCCCAGGTTGGTCCTGAATCTGCTGAGCTGCTGCGGTGCTGAGAAGCTTCCACTTCCCCAAAGCAACGCCGAAGAAACGCCTCGTGCCGTCGTCGAACCGACTTGGTGGTGACGCGCGGCGGTACGGCTTGGACCACAAACCTCCAGACTCGCCGAAGATAAAGAACACTGTGGAATTGCCTTCCAGGACCAGCCGCCCACGATGCATCGGACGCAGCGCAGGCACGCACATGTGCTCAGCGCCATCGTCGCCGCCGTCACCACACACCTCGTCATCCATCCCCGCCGGCCAAGGAATCGCCGAACAGCACGGGGTGGGGAGTGAAACGTGAAACTGAGAGTTAAACAAGTTTGAACCAAAATAGGGCAACGGATGTTGTTTCACTGGGATGTTTAAGTGCCACGCTGGAACATCACGAATTGTTGTGAGCACCTGTCCACGATGAAGTCGGACTAATGTGAGCACGCATTGCTGTGAGCACGGATTGCTGTGAGCACGGATGGCTGTGCCACCAATCACGGATGGATGTTATCACGGCTTGTCGTGAGCACGGGTTGTTGTGAGCAGATTCCCATCGGGGCACCAAACGCGGAGTGTTGTGAGCACGGAATGCGAATTAAGTGCAACGTTGGGCAAATTGTCCACAATGCAGATTTGTAATGGGCGCATTCGCTCGAGACATCCGCACAATGCTTTCCAGACGTGCAACGTTTTCGCTTGAGACATCCGAACAATGCGTTGAAGTTGTGCAGTGCGTCTTCGCTGGAGACACTGTGCACCAGTTGTACAGCGCAAGCTTGTTTTGCAAACCTCAACTATATACGCGACTGTCAACACACAACATATCGAACGACCAAGCGCAACGATCAAACATACGTAATACTACCAAGCACCTGCGCTGATCTTGGGATTTTTAGAGTTTAAGTTTTTATTCTCCGTTTTAAGGTAGAAAGCGCTTTCTACCTTACCGATAATACCATTGGGGGAGAATATACCTTAACTCTACAAGCGAGTCTAGCCACCTGGGACCATACCATCTGGGGGGGAGGGGGGGGGGGGGCCGTGGGCCCGGAGCCCTGGACCCTATAGACCTGATGACGCGGACCGCCGACGCCGTGCCTTGCTCATAACGCGGGCCCCGGGAGATCTGGACCCCCGGGACCAGACTTCGAGGGGCAACGATAATAAGGGGGGATAGGCGTAGGGAGGGTAGGGACAGGGGGCGATAGGGATAGGAGTCGGGGAGCTTCTGACCCGGGTCAATCCGGACCCAGGTCAGTCAGGCCTTGCAGAATCCTGCAATATCTGGCACCCAAACCCGGGTCAGTCCGAAGGACCCTGCAGGATCCTGCACCCAAGCCTGGGTCAATGCGATCCTGTCCCTGCAGGATCCTGCAAGATTCGGCGCTCTGGCTGAACCCCCGTTTGCACTGACCCCCGTCTCAAGGCTCCGGACAGAGATCTAGACCCACGGGACCAGTTTTCGAGGGGCAACGATAGGGGGGGATAGGGGTAGGGAGGGAACTCTCGACGTGGAATCGGCGGTACATCGCCGGTACGCCTCCGGTAGTGAATCCGCACCTCCATGGGCAGGTTGGGCCTATCGGGCCCCTATCGGTGATCAATGGGCGATTGGGGGTCGATGCATCCCCCCCTATGCCTATCCCCCCCTTGCCCCTGAGCTTTCCATTGTGTGTGTGTCTGTGGAAGTGTGTATATTCAGGTATGTGTACACATACCGGCGGGGGGGGGACAGAGTCTGGCACCACCAGACGGTGGTGCTGGACGCAGTGCAGCAGTGCCGGGGACGCACTGGGGGAGTTGCGTCACCGGGGGGGGACGGGGGGGGGGAGAGGGGGAAGGGGGGCACAACGCGCGTTATGGCCCAGAGGGTCAACAAAAAAAACCCGCGGATTCGCTGCGAAGCTGATGTCGGTGGACGCGCTGTTTGAGCTCGCGCGCAGCTGCTGGCGCGAACGACGTCTCACGGGACTTTCCGCCACGCGACGCAGGAGGCCGTGCTCGCGCACTTTTGCCGTCGCTCGGACGTCCATTTCCCGTGCATGTTTCGGTTTCGTGCGTGTTTTTTTGCTCGATGGTCCAGGATGGTCCTCGATGGCTCTCGCCGAGAAAAAATGCACACGTCCGAGCGATGCCAAGCACTGCTGCCGACGTCTCCCTTGGAAGGCAGAGCTCTCTCTCTCTCTCTCTCTCCCTCGCCCTGCCGCGCCCGCAGACCAGCGGTGGCTCTGCAACACCACTGGCCGTCGCTCGGACGTCCATGTCCCGTGCATGTTTCGGTTTCGTGCGTGTTCTTTTTTTGCTCGATGGTCCAGGATGGTCCTCGATGGTTCTCGCCGAGAAAAAATGCACACGTCCGAGCGATGCCAAGCACTGCTGCCGACGTCTCCCTCGGAAGGTAGAGCTCGATCTCTCCCTCGCCAGGCCGCGCCCGCAGACCAGCGGTGGCTCTGCAGCACCGCTGGCAGCCCTCTCTCCACACCTTCTCCGCCGCCCCGTGCTGCCGTGGCCCAGAAACGAGCTCTGCCACAGGAGCCCGCGGCACAGGCAGCGTGGCGGCAGGGGGGGGACGGCCGCGTGCGGCGACGGCGGCGGCGGCGGCTTGCCGGAGCCTCTCCGTGCGCAGGGTCGCCCCCCGTGCGCGCGACGCAGGAGGAAGCAGCGATGCTGAGGCTGGCAAGGTTTGGCAGGACGAATGCCCTAGTCTTCTCCCCCCTAAGACAGATGAACAAGACAAGTCATAAACATAACCTGTCGGAGCTCCGCGCGGAATTCTTGGATCTCCGCTGGGCTCCCCTTCCTGGCGCGCGGAGCGCGCCAGGGCCGGCGCCGGAGGCGCCGCCAGGGGGCCCCAGCGCCGATCCAAGAAATCCGCGCGGAGCTCCGACAGGTCATGTTGATGCCGCTTGTGCATCTCCGACTAGGAGGCAGCCTACAGGAACGAGCCGCTGCACGGCATGCACTCGCGGAGGTCCACGCGGATGTCTTGCGTCGGCGCGGGGCCCCCCCCCTCTCTGTGGCGCGCTCCGCGCGCCAGAGGGGCGGCGCCGTCGGGTCGCCAAAGGGGGCCGATGGTCGACCCGAGACGTCCGCGCGGAACTGCGACAGCTTGATGTCTGCGCTCTTTTCTTCATCCTCGATGCCTCGCTCCTGGCTTCGGCGGCGAGCGAGGGGGGGGGGAGGTGAGGAGGAGAAGGCCTCCTCAGAAGGCGGCGGGGCCTCTCAGAGGCCCTGGAGCCTTCCGAGGGGCTTACTTTTCCGTGTCCTCGGGGAAAGCTCAGAAAACTTCTCAGAAGGCCGGGGGACTTCCGAGCCTTCTGAGAAGGCCTTCTCCTCCTCACTTCCCCACAGGGCTCGCCGCCGATGGCTGTCATCCCGTACGCACGCTGCGGGGCCTTCTTCGCGCGTTGGCGACTCTAGTCTGCTCTTCTTCTCCGGCGGGAAGAGACTGCCGGGTGTCATGCCTGCGCCGGGCGGCATACGCCGGGAGGTGGTGGTGCGCGCAAGTACACATCAAAGGGTCAAACGAATCGCGTGCGCGCGCAACTGCACATGACGGACACTTCTGACAATCATGCACGCGCGGGCGCACTTGTATATACTTGAGCAGAACAACAAACAAGTGCGTAAACATGAACTTTCGGAGGTCGGCGGGGATTTCTTGGATCGACGCTGGACCTCACTCCCTGGCGCGGGCCCCAGCGCGGATCGAAGAAATCTGCACGGAACTCGGACAGTTTATTAGAGTGAGGGGGCCGAACGGTCATTCATAGTGCCCGGGTGCGTGGCTGAAGTGGGGATCCGTGGTAAAGATCCTGCTTGTTGCGTTGAACGCTCACTGCTGAAGAATAAGTATAATTGATGCTCCCCCCTCCGGTGCACATTGCAATTTTTAATTAAAGTGCCCCTCCCGGCGCTCACATCCTGTTGCTATCAGGGAAAATATTCCTCAAACTGTGCCCCTGGCCCCTGGTTTGCAATCACAACGGCTCCCGCTTGATACTTCCTCGAAATTTACTCTGGTCCTCCGCTCTCGCTTGAGCCTTCCTCGCAATTTACTCAAAATTGGCGCTCCCGCCTGAGACTTCCTCGCAATCTGTTCAGGCCCCGCTCTTGCCATTCAGGAATCGGGCATTCGCAGGGGACTTCCTCAAATTTACTTGAGAGTCGCTCTCTCGCTGGAAACTTCCTGGCTAATCACGCAAGCAAAACTCACGTAGAACTATATACCCACCAAAAGTGGTATACTCGAAGGCGAAGAGGGCGGGTATCGAGGGTTCGGGGAATCCACGCTGAATGACACTCCGGCAGATAAGTGCGAACACAGTGCGAATAATCTTAAAATGATTATTGTTGTTGTTCTTGTTGTTGTTGTTGTTGACGTTTATTGTTGTCGTCGTCCCACCCGCGACCCGCCCGCGACCCATCCCGCGACCCACCCCGCGACCCACCCACGACTCATTTGCGACCCATTGGCAACCCACCCGCGACCGACCCACATTGGTTGAACCGAAAGATCGGCGCATGCGGCGTGTTCGTTGTATAATTGATGAAACTTTGGCGCCTGCGGCGGGCTTCTCCGGAATCTCGCAGACTGCCGACGTCCCCACCGCCCCCTCACTCTTAACCGCATCTGCGGGGTACTACGTATTACGGAGGCGTTTTTTATCTGCGGCCATGGGGGGCGTTATGGCGGGAGGAGGGGGGTGGGACGGGAGGAAGCATAATGTAGCGCTCACCATAGGGGGCCACATGCGAACCCTACCCCTAACTCCCAACGATTTCCGAGGGGAGGGTGGGGTTCGCTTCGCTCGGGAGCTCCCGAACGAAGTGAACGTACCCCCCCCTCAGAAATCATGGGGGGTCAGGGGCAGAAATCGCACTTGGCCCCATACACCACCCCCAGACTGTGGTGCGGGACGCGCTGCGGCAGCGCCGGGGACGCTCTGAGGGGGGGGGGGGCGTTACGTTATGGGGGGGAGGGTAGCAGGCATAACGCGCGTTCTGGCCCAGAGGCTTAATCAACCACTCTTTCTGCAACTTTGTCTGCTTGGAGTGGGCTTCCAGAAGCTGGACGGCTGCCAGGCGAATCGACCTAATTACCCTGGGGGCCTCTCTGCACACGGGATGCAGGCTTCCTCCCTCCCCCCTGTCCCGAAGTACTCCCTGCCGTCCCCTGTCGCTCGCGGCAAGAGGAGGGGGGGGGGGGCTGGCGAGGAGAACGAGGGGAACGAGGTACGGGGGAGGAGGAGAGGGGAGAATGGGAGGGGCTGAGGAGAACAAGGGGATGAGAGGGGGGGGCTGACGAGGAGAACGAGGAGGCTGAAGATGCTGGGGGGGGCTGACAAGGACAACGAGGGGATGGAAGGATGATGCGAGGAGGAGGATGAGGAGGGAGAAAATGGGCGGGGGAGTTCGAAGCGTGAAGGGACGGGGACGAGGAGGAGGAGATGGTGGCGAGCACGAGGAGGAAGAGCAGCGAGCTGGCACAGAGAACAAGGGTGAGGACTGCAGCTGAGGGCCCCCAGTGGCCTCTCAATTCCCCGGGACGACGACAAAGACGATCACGACGACGACGACGCCGACGCCGACGACGAAAACGACGACGACGAGCTCTTCATCCTGATGTGTTTGTTCACGGTGCCGGGGCCCCGGCACGCGCCCCCGAGGCCGAGAAGTAGCGCGAAACTGTGCGCCGCGACGTGTTACCGACGTCAGGGGGGGGGGTCCGCACTCCTCTCACTTCTGGAGTAGTGCAGCGGGGAGGCCAGTCCACAAGAAACCTCCCACAAAAAGGCCCACCCCTGCGACCCCGGGACGTCCCTCGACTTCTGGTGTGGGCACGTCGCGCCTTCCACGGCAAAACCATCGAAACCCAAGAAACCCAGGGCACCCTGGATGCAGGCAGGGTGCTTCTTGGCATGGGTCTCCACTGTATAAAGAGAAACGACTAACTTTCTACGCCGACGCTTGTTCTGGCGACGCACTGAACTTCGCACAGGGAAACATACTCTGGCGTACGCGGGATCCTGATGTATGCATGCTTCGTTGCTTCCGCGGGAAAACGGGGGACCAGATTTACACCGCACCACCCCGACGTCGTCCCGGACTAAGATTGATGCGCAGCCTGCCACTTGCAATGTATAGGCTCCTGTGTCCGATAATAGATGCAGCACTGCAGGGTTGTAACAGAGCGGCCAGAGCAAGGCACATCCCCCTCGCTCCTAACATATGTCACGCACGTTAGATGCTCGATCTTCTTGGGATCTGCCTGGAACCGCTCGCTCCATTCATGCGCTGATGCTGCGTCGAGCTTCGGTCGACTTCAGTCGAGCTTGCGTGGATTTCGAGTCGAACTCGAATCGGGCCAGAGTCGAACTAGACACAGACTAGACTCATACAGATCCGTCTGGTCAGCCCCGGAGCAAGCATCCAACACAGGTGTTCAGCCTGCCCTCCTGGGCGGGCAGTCCTAGCTTCTGGAGCGAGGCGATGCTCAACGACGGCGCGCTGGTCGCCTCAACCGTCGAGCGCGCCAGGGAAGAGAACGGATGGAGAGCTTGAGAGATGGAGGCGCGGCCTAGGAGAGGCGGCGGCCGAGAAGGCATGAGCGGCACATTTTTTCTCCTCTCAACTAGATGTTAGTCATGCCTGTCAGCTGTCCCCACAAGACGAAGCGAGGACGATGGTAGTGAGCGTTTTTTTGATCCGGCGTTTCGACATTGGCAGAAAGGAGTGGGGAGGGGGGGGGGGGTCTGGCTCCAACCTCTCTTTAGTGCGGCTGTTTGGACCGTGCGTCCTCTGGGGGAGACTCCACCTGCTCGAAACGGGCGCCAAGAACAGCCAAAGCCAAGATCTACTCCATGGGGATGGGGGGTTTGGGGGCCCGCGCCGATCGGCAAAACAATGAATAAAAAACGAACACAACAATTCGGGTGAAGATAAATCGAGAATGTCTGAGATCCGGCGGCTGTGGAGGATGTCGCGGGCGCAGCGGCCTTCTCAGAGTGTTCCGGAATGCTCTGACAGTGTTCCGGAACGCTCTGGAACGGATTTATCCTCGTCCTAGCCCCGTCCGAAGATCCTCGACATCATGTTTGATCCTGACAACGAACCCCAGAGGGCTCGACCCTTTCCCAAGCACCGGATTTTCATCTGGAGTAGATCTTTCAGGGCCTCGAAGCCCTGCAAAGGCCCCCAGAAACCGAAAATAACGGAGGACATTCCGTCGCGCTTGTTTGATCGAGGGGGTCTGCTGTCCCTCGCTCGAATCCTGTCGTGCCAAAGGGGCGCCGCAGCCGCTGGCAAGAGAACGCTGCTGCTTCAGTTGCGTGGGCTGTTCGCCGGGCCTCCCCCCGAGTCGTTGACGGCTTAACGACTGCTGCCGTTCTTCGACCCGCGCTGGAGATCTCTGAATTTACTCCTTCGACTTCTGCCGTCCTTCGACTTCGGCCGCGAGATCTCTGGATCTACCTCGATTTGTCCGGGCTTCTCTCGATGTTCCGGGATCTGCCTGGATTTGTCCAAATTCGCCTGGAGTTAGTTATCTGGCTCGGTCCCCACGAGTCGACTGGCATTATGTCGGACGTGCCCCCCTGCAGGGGGATTTTCGACGAAAAATGAAAATGACGCTACCGAGGAGCCCCACATACTTATTTTATGTCACGTGTGTTCACAAACCATGTCACATCTCGCTTCGCCATCCTGACGAGACACTGACCAGACCAGCCAAATCAGCCAGACCAGCCAGACTGACCAGACCAGCCAGATCATTCGTTCCAGCCATAACCAGCCAAAGTAACCAGACCAGCCAGCCAGGCCAATCAAGCAGACCAGCCAGACCAACCGTACTAGTCATGCCAACAACCGCAGCCAGAATCAGCCAGACTAACGCACACGAGCCAACCAGGCCAACCAAGCACACCAACTAAACCAGACCAACAAGAACAGACCAACCAGACCATGCCAACCAGACCAACCACACAAACAAGCGTCGTCGTACTGAGCGTACTGAGCGTCGTCGTCGTCGTACTCGTCGCACTCGTCGTCGCGGATCAAGTCCGCGTACATCCAGAGATTTCCGGGGAAAGTTGGAGCAACTCCATTTTGGCTCAAGCGATTGCATTTGCCTAGCTACCCCCCTTGCTAGGTATAGATGAGCGCCATCGCTGCTGATGGCCCCTCCCTTGTGGCGGCGGCTGCGCAGGCGGCGATCCGGGAGGGCGCCCCGAGGCGCACTGTTGCTGCTGTGGCTGCGGCGGTTGCCGGCACTGTGATGTCTGCGACTGCTCGGCCCTCCGTGCCAGCGACTATGCACAAGGAGCGCGCTCAGGACGCACAGGGCGAAGCTGAAGACTCCGACGATCCTGTACAATTGTTGGAGAAACTTCGTGCTGTACGCCGTGACCAACGACTCCGCAAGAAGGAGAAACGCAGGACAGCCAAGCAGGTGGCTCAAGATGGTACAGCCTCTCCTATTCTTCCTGATGGCCGTCAGCCTCTCGTTGAAGCTATTCCACCTTCAGCAGGCGCAGCCGGCCCAAGCGCAGACCTCGGGGGAAGTCTTGCTGCAGAGCCCGCTCCGGCACTTGCTCTACGTTCAGGCGCTGATTCACCCTCGCAGTCTGAAGGTACCCTCAATTCCCGGCACCAGCTCCCCGAGTCTATTGCTGGGAGTGCAATTGGCGCCAGTTCTTGCCACACACTGGGGCGAGAACCATCAGGGCCACCTGCACGTGCCAAAGATCCTGCACGATCTAGTGCACACCAACAGGGAGCTTCGCCAGGGAAGCCTTCCTTTGGACGTGTTGAGGGCGATGCTGGACCCAAATCTGGCCGGCCTCAGCCTTACCCGGGACGGAAGAAGTAGCCTGCCCCTCTTCCGTTCATGCGGCAGTCCCGACATTGCCGTTCCATATGTGCTCAGGTATTCCAGTTGGGTGGCTGCATATTTCGAGCAACTCTGCTACGTGTACTTCAAGTTCCTGAGGCAGACCAACTTCTGAGGGGGGGCCTTTCTTACCTCTTCGGCTACGTCCCCACGTGAGCCCATCTTAGGCCGCGATTGCTGCACCAGGCCCTAAGCAGCCTGACTCGTTTGTTTTTCTTGTGGCTGGGCAGCCCCCAGTCTTTTCCATGTCAAGTTGGAGCAACTCGCGGCCGCTCCAGCGCGGGTCGAAGGACGGCAGAAGTCGTTAAGCCTTTAACGAAAGACTGGACCCACAAAATGAGATGCCCCACGGGGAAGCATGCCTGAGGACCGTGACCCACTTCACCGTCGTCATCGCCGTCGCCGCCGCCGTCGTCGTCGCCGCCGCCGTGGTCGCCGTCGCCGCCGCCGCCGCCGTCGTCGCCGTCGACGCCGCCGCCGTCGCCGTCGTCGTCGTCGTCGTCGTCGTCGTCGTCGTCGTGGTCGCCGGCACCTGCCGTGAGGCCCTCGCAGAAAACACGATGCCTCACGGGGCTGTGTCCGCCCCGCCCCGACTGCCGCCACCCCAAAAAGGCCCGTGGCCCAACGCAGCGGGGGCCAGCGGGCCCGTGCCCTCCAAGCATCCGCCTGTCTGCACGCGCGGGCATCTCGCCAGGCAGGCTCGGCCAGCGTTGCCGCGCCGCATCAACGATCGGCGGGGCGCCACTCGAACAATTTTTGGCGCCAGCGGGCAACCGCGGAATTCCACCGATTGAATTCGAACGCCCCGCATGGCACTTCGGAGGCGCTGCGGAAGCAGACGCTGCCGGGGGCCACCGCGATGAGGTCTGGCACTGCCGGGCTGCAACGCTTAGGCTCAGGACCCCACCTCTCCGGTCCCCATCCTTGAACCACCGACCCTTACGCTGGGCGGGCCTCCGCGGAGATCCGCGATTTCCCATGGAAACGGGACCCGTCGCTAATCCACGCCGCCTTCATCCAAGTTTGCGATCGCCGCAATCTTTGAACCACCGACCCCTTGCCGTCGCTCGGACGTCCATTCACCGTGCATGTGTCGGTTTCGTGCGTGTTTTCTGTTGCTCGATGGTCCTGGATGGTCCTCGCCGAGGATTTTTGTTCGCCGAGGAAACAGTGCACACGTCCGAGCGATGCCACCGACCCTGGCGCCGGGCGGGCCTCGCAGGGCCCCCCCCCCGCGCCCCCCGGGGGGGCCTCTGCCCAGGACCCCGCTTCTCTCTCGGTCCGAGCCGCTCTCGGCCCAGGGGGCCCAGGGGCCCGGGGAGGGGCCCCCAGGGCGGGCTGGGAGGCGCGCACAGATGGGGTAATTAGGGTCAGGTCGGGCATGTCCTCCTCCAGGGGAATTTTGGACGACAGATCAAAAAGACCCCCCCGAAAAATACACTCCCAAACGGTCGAACAAATATATCAGAGAAATCGTCCCCTGACTATTTGTTGACTAGTTTTGAGTTCTCCTCCTGGAGAGGGACATGCCCGACTGGAGAAAGCTTCGTAGAAAGAGCTTTCACCCCTTCCCCTACCCCCCTCTGCGCGTAGCCGGTCCGAGGCGACCATCCTGCTACAGCGACCATCTGCTGCTCCCTGCATCTCGCTCGAAGCATTGGTCTCACCACCTCCTCTGCAGAGTCGGTGATCCTCAGAACGCGCATTACCTCTGACGTGTGCTTGCCCATGGAAGCAATCCAACACGTCGAAGGCGGTGGACTGGGGGCCGACACGGCCTACGCGATATCGGCGGACCTGAACCCAGGCCCCCAGCGTGGTGACTTCTCCATGACGAATGCCAGCCACAACCAATTTGTCATCTGGAAACGTTTCAGAACGGCCTCGAGGCCCGGGGAAGACCCCCAAAATCAAAAATGACGAAAACATTTCCGTCATGATCTCTTCACGTCGCCAGGGGGTCAGGAGAGCCCAGAATCGAATCGACAAATCGGATCGGCAATCGACATGAATCGGATCGGCGGAAATCGGCAGCCCAATCGGGAAAAGTCGAATCGACGGACATCGGCGGGCTAGTATGCCTCCAATAAGAAATCGGAATCCAAATCGGAAACCCAAGTCGAATCGAATCGGAATCGGAATCCATCGAAGTCGAATCGAATGGGAGGAATCGAAACGAGCCCTGGGGGGTCTGGGCAACGCGCGCCCTTGGAGATCATCGACTGCCCCCCGCGGAGCTGCGGCCGGGCGCGCCCCGGACAGCCGCATCGCCGCCACGGCGGGATGCACGCCGCCATCGACGCTCTCCTGCGGCCGCGCTGGCAAAGCCGGGCCCCCGACGCCGTCGCTCGCGCCTCCTGATGAGAAGCACCCGCTTCACTCCCAGACTGACTACCTACCAGACCACCTCAACCCAACCCGAAGACCCGAATTTCGGGTTGGGGGGGGTACGGGTTCCATGTGTTTTCTCGATGTTCCCCGACCCCCCCCCACGAGCGACGGCGTCGGGGGCCCGGCAAAGGCCGGGCCCCCGACGCCGTCGCTCGTGCCTCCTAATTCGGGTCGGGCGAAAGGGGGGTTTGAGAATCCGCTCACGTGGCTGATTTTCCCGGCGCTTCCCGACGCCGGTGGCGGCCATGCATCGAGGAATGGGCCCCTCGGTGGGGCCGAAACCAGCTGCATGCAGCAGATTTCGTAACCCCCCCTTTCCCAATCCCCCCCTTTCGTCCGGCCCGACTGATGAAAATCACCCGCTTCACTCCCAGACCCCATCGCGTCGTGAACCAAACACGACATGAGGTGCTCCTATATCTCAGGCATCTGGGGACCCTGCCACCGAGCCGCAGAGCAGTGAAAGTAACACTCCTAGCGGTCCGCGTCCCGAAAAAACAGCATGACGTCGGGGTTCTGGGGTCGCCGTCATCTTCCTCCTCCTCGCTCACTCGCACCCAACTGGAAGGCTGATGAGCTCGGAGCTTGTCCAAACAGACGAGGCTAAAGTGAAAAGCGAGATAATGCATCAAGAGCGATCGCGCCCTGCCCTTTAAGTTGACCATCGAAGCCCCCGGCGCACCACCCCTAGGCGCCGGCTCCTGCCCCTCCTCCTCCTCCTCCTCCTCCTCCTCCTCCTCCTCCAACCCCTCCTCCTCCTCCTCCTCCTCCTCCTCCAACTCCACCTCCTCCTCCTCCTCCTCCTCCTCCTCCTTTTGTTCCTCGTCCTCGTCCTCCTCCTCCTCCTCCTTTTGTTCCTCGTCCTCCTCCTCCTCCTCCTCATCCTCCTTCCTCGTCCTCCCTCCTGCCTGCGAGCACGCGAAGGGCCCAACGATATAAGCAGGAGAGCGATACCCTCCCGGAGCGCGCTCCCCAGGGCCCGAGGCCCCCCCCAGTGGGAGCTCCAGGAGGGACCCACACACACTTCCAGAGGAGGGCCCCGAGAGGGGCGAGAGGGGCCCCAGAAAGGCAGATTGGGCCCCATCGCGGCCGTTCCCCTAGGAGGAGGAGGAGGAGGAGGAGGAGGAGGCGGAGGAGGAGGACGGGGAGGGGGATGTGGGAGGAGGAGGAGGGGGAGGAGGGGAGGAGGAGGAGAGGAGGAGGAGGAGGAGGAGGAGGAGGAGGAGGACGAGAACGAGGAACAAAAGGAGGAGGAGGAGGAGGAGGAGGAGGAGGAGGAGGAGGAGGAGGAGGAGGAGGAGGAGTGGAACGAGGGGGAGTTACAGTTCGATGCTGCGTTGTTGCCCACCAGGAAAACTTAGGAGCTACTCCCCCCCCCTCCCTGGCCACGCCGATGGCGTGGCGGGTGGCTGCAGCGCAGGCAGCCCGCCAACGTGCCCCTTGGCGCATCGATGCGTGCCAAATGGCAACATGTCTGGGATTTTCTACGCGCCCCCCACCGTCTCCCCGCACTGCCCCACGCGCGTCGCCCCATTCCTGGAGTCCACAATCATTTGCAAAATGCGACCGCCTCGCACCCCCGAGGCCACAACTCTTCGTAACATACAACAGAAACATCCTTCTGTGTGCTCTCGAAGCGGCAACACACACAGAAAACCTCCAAGACGGCCAACAAAAAAACCTCCCGAGGGACCCACACCCGCCTTAAAAAAACCTGTCGCCGGCCCAAGACGGCCCCATGACGACTTTCAGCCACCCGCCACGCGGCCAAGAGGGCCCCAATACGGCCCCCAATGGTGATCAACTGAAACACGTTTAACATTCAAACGTCATATGAATTCGTATGGTTGTGGGCCAGAAGCCAGGGCATAAATTCGCAGCACCCCCCAATTGCGGATAAGAGAGAAGGGGGGCGGGCACGGACGACGCGGGCGTCGTGCTGGCGGACCTCGTGGCCCTCACCTTCCCTGTCGATGGCGCCCTCGTCCTCCTTTTCCTCCTCCTCCTGCTCCTCCTCCTCCTCTTCCTCGTCCGCGTCCTTGTCCTCATCGTCGTCGTCGTCGTCGTCCGCCTCCTCCGTTCTTGGCTTGTTCACTGAACGTAGTCTCGTGGCCCTCACCTTCCCTGTCGATGGCGCCCTCGTCCTCCTTTTCCTCCTCCTCCTGCTCCTCCTCCTCCTCTTCCTCGTACGCGTCCTTGTCCTCATCGTCGTCGTCGTCGTCGTCGTCGTCGTCCGCCTCCTCCGTTCTTGGCTTGTTCACTGAACGTAGTTTGGGTCGCGGGTGGGTCGCGGGCTCTCCACCTCCACCTGGAAGAGATTCAAAAACATGCCGCCGCAGGCGCCGAACATTTTGATTTGCACACTGAACGCGGTTTTGGTCGCGGGTGGGTCGCAAGTTTTCCACCCGGAACGAATGCAAAAAAAACCCGCCGCAGGCGCCGACAAATTTTGGGTGGGTCGCGGGGTGGGGCGCGGGTGGGTCGCGGGTGGGTCGCGGGTGGGTCGCGGTGGGTCGCGGGTGGGTCGCGGGTGGGTCGCGGGGTGGGTCGCGGGGTGGGTCGCGGGGTGGGTCCGGGTGGGTCGCGGGCGGGTCGTCGGGGGGGGTCGCGGGGTGGGTCGCGGGCGGGTCGCGGGGCGGGTCTCGGGTGGGTCGCGGGTGGGTCGCGGGTGGGTCGCGCGGTGGGTCGCGGGTGGGTGGCGGGGTGTGTCGCGGGTGGGTGTCGGGGGGGGTCGCGCGCGGGTCGCGGGGTGGGTCGCGGGGTGGGTCGCGGGTGGGTCGCGGGGCGGGTCGCGGGTGGGACGACGACAGCAACAATCAACAAACAGCAAAAAAACAACAACAACAACAACAACAACAACAACAACAACAACAACAACAACAACAACAACAACGAGAACCGTCTCGCAGAATCCCACTTCAGCCACGCACCCAAGGACAGTGAATGACCGTTCGGTTCAGCCCCCTTCACTCTGATGTTGTTCGTATGGGTATTTATCAAATGGAACGAAGGGGTGTCAACTTGTCATATGAATGCGCGAGGGTCTGACCAAGTGTGGAAGTGAACAACTGCAGCATGATTGCGCATCATGTGTCGAAACATGGTTACTGCAAACATAGAAATGGTTGCATCAGATCATACATGCTTTGCCACGGCGAAAGGGTTGAATCAACGATGCACAAATATGGCACTCGCCCAAAGCTCGACATAATACGCCACATGTGCTTGTATGCTGTGTACTTGCTCTGTGAACGTTTACAAAAAGATAAAGTGTAACCGGCTGTTTGTATATACGTATATAAATGTGTATATATATAAAGATATGAATAATTGTACGGTCGGTGGAGGTTGCTTTGTCTCTGAAGCAACATATATGCATACGAACAATCTGGAAACCGTTCGAATGCAGCAGAAGCAGCTCTACAAACAAAAAACTCGCATCGATGTTCTGATGTGTTTGAATGCAGCCGAGCCACTTGTTTTCTTTATTTATTTATATATATACCAATATACATGTAAAGCAACACGCGTTGTTGAACAAGGCGTGCCTCTGTATGCCTCCTCGGATGTCATACGCGTCGGCGCAAATAGGTAAACGTTAACATGGAACAACGACACTTCAAATCCGAACATGTTTGATTTCGCATATGAATGCGACCGATTGGCAGACGATTACCGGCAAACAAATCAAAAGAAACAGATGGCGCCAAATATGATTTAGTATTCGAAATGTGTTCATACGGCGACGCCATGATTCTGCTGCGATGGCCAAACACGAATCTTCACCCAAAACGATCCCTCAACAAAAACTCAACGGTATATAAGTTCCCTCACACGAACGTACAACGTGTTTCGACTCGGACAAGCAAGTGGAAAAGTCAGCAATACCGTACCTATCGATTTGAAAATGTTGCCAGTGTGCAGATCCAGATTATTGGTGGTGTACGTGCGTCTTGCCCATGGCGAACATGCGATGTTTCCTTGCTAGCGCCCACCGTGTTCATCATCTGACAATGAAGATGTCATGGCTGCTCCATATCTATATATAGATGTACATATGAGACAGCGGCGAAAGAAATCATCCATTCGTTCCATGGGATGCTGTGGGCGGAGTATGTCACATGTATGTGTTCCAAACGGTTTGGCGCGATTAGATTACTGCATCACCTGTGCAACAAATGCGCAACAGTGTCAATTCCAATGAACAAATGCTACCGCTGTCCAACTGTACTGCGGTATTTATGTGATGATAACACGACGACAAACACCGATGGCCTGACTCGTGCTCATAATATTGCCGTGGTTTGGAATTGGATATGCGCGATTCAGCGATGATCTAAGTACTCCCTAGTAGAAGACGTCAGAGATTCTTCGAAAGTGGATGATATTCACATCGTTTGCACACGAACGCGCGCGATCCTACGCAGGGAAAATCAGCAACCTATTCGATTCGCCAATTAATTTCCATATAGAGATACAGTTGTGCTAGATGCCCGCTCATGTGAGCTTAGTTGGCTGAGCAATGTTGACGCACTCTGTCCTGGAATGACACAATCATGGTTCTAAGTTCTATCCTGGTACCGATGTTTCCCAAATGGATGTGAAACCATCCCGTGCACTTCTGGTGAAATAGCAATGACTTCTGGTGAAATAGCAATGACGCGCACGGAATAATCAAAACACATGACTTCGCCAAAGCTTTCCCCGAACCCTTCCAGAGCTTGATGCAAACACACAATCGGTTCAACCCTGTTGCCTCACTCCCTTCTTGCAGTCCTTGCCTCCAGGAGGCTCCTCGGCAAAAGCAACGCCATCTGTCTTGGCTTCTCCATCTGCGCGCCTCTTCTTCTGAGGTATGTCCGATATTGTTCTTGCGCGAGCCAAGCAACCCTGAAATTGTGCTTGCTTCTCCTGCGCCGCCCGAGCGACCTCCCACGACTGTGAGCGAAAGGTCTCGAACTTACATGTGCCCCCCCTTCGAGGTCGCCCAATGATTCGAATGCGCAGAGATCGAGCTTGAAGACAACGGGAACTTCAATGCCGTTCGCCACCTCAAACACGTAAGCCGTCATGTCCGCCTGGGCCACCGACGCGAGGACGGAGAACATCGGCACCATAATCGGGCTCGTGGAGTTCGCGTGGCTGCTTGACTCGGGCAGCTTGAAACCTGCGGGCGTTTCTACGCCCGGATCTCTGAGTGGCGTTTCGTTGTAAAGCGGCGACCTTTTTTCTTGGAATGAAATATCGGGGCGGATGCCTCGTCAATGCTTTGACTGGTCATGTTGCCTGAGCTCCAGCGGGCCCCAGGTGACGCGGGGCGACTCGGAAGCTCTCTGGGGGGGGTCATCTGCTGGCAAGCTGGGGCGCAGGCGCAGACTGTGCACTCATCTGAAGTCAAGCGCATCCGGATGAGCCCCGAAAGCCACGAGCCCCACGCCGTGAGGGTCACAACTCCCCCTCGTCGCTATCCGTGCGCAGCGCCATGTCCACGCGGTCTGGTTCACCTCGTCCGCAAGGTCGAGAGCATTGCTGCCGTACTCTTTGGCAAAAACAGCGAGATGCTTGATATATCGCTCTCCATCAGATGCAGCTGGCGTGGTATCTCCAGCCCAGAGAAGTAGCACCTTCGGGTGGGACCCCCACTTGAAACCTTGATCTTGGATGGGGCAGACATTCAGGGATCCTTCTATCTTAACGACAGATCGGTGCGGCACCCTCGAAGCTCTGATAGCGAACTCTTCCCAGGTGGGCATGCATTTTCGCGAGAAGCCGAACCGCGAGACGCATGCCATCAGGCAGACGTGTTTTGGGTCCGCCGTCGGGGTGGAGGGCTGCATCGCAATCTCCTCCAAAGTGTTGCCCACCGCTATCAGAGAGCCCCCATGTACATGTCCGGGGACCTCGGTGTCGGCTCCGACCTCGTGAGCCTGTTGCGGACCCACTGCTCTAGGCTTGAGGCCGTGCTTTGCTCGCCCTGGCTTTCGGAGACGGAAGTGGCATTCTCGATGCCTGCTTCTTGGTGGATCACGGCTGAAGTGTTCATGTGTTGCGCCGCCACTACCTCACGGGCCTGGAAGTGCGGGGACGGTTTTGGTGACTGTGCGTGGACGGCGCGATCGCATCTGCGGGGGTCCGCCTCGGGCTGCGCAGCCTCCATCGGGTCTCGGCCCAGAGCCATCACGACATACACCGTGTTTGCGGGCGATGCTTCTGTCCATATCCACTGCAGTATTGAGTTTCGGGCTCCCTTCCCCAGAAACCCGAGGCGCACTGGATATGCACAACTCTGCCACCTAGAGGCTCGATTCCTATCCACACCACGTGCGCTTCGGCCTCGTGGCGCCCCGCCCAAGAGAGCCCGAGACGAACTGGATGTGGATATCAATCTTGCCCGCAGTCTTCCCGCCTTCCTGCTCGCAGGGGGCGTGATGGCATGTCGTCCACTGCCCGTGCGCGAGCCGGAGCAACCGGGGGTCACTGTGCGTTGGGGTGCGCACCCCTCTGCCGGAGCCCAGTCCTGCCCTGGCTCCAAGCTCGGCAACGGGCACAAGGGCGTCGGAGGCCCCGGTTGCTCCAGGCGGCTGCGCCCAGCCCCCCAGGGAGCTCCGCCCAGTGCGGGGCTGCTCGGTCCACCAGCGTCCACCAGCGCCCTGCCGCTGCTGCTGGGGAAGTCGCCGAGGCCCGCGGGGGTCAGCACGGCGGCCACTCCAAGGCGCCCCTCGGCGAGCATCGGGCAGCCGAAGGTGGCCGCCGAAATCAGCAACAGCCGCCGCTCGGGAGCTCGCCTCGGCGTGGCGGCCGCCATGGCGGGGGACCGCGGCGAACCGCCGAGAACGCGGGCCCAAACACCCTGCCAAGGACTTGAGCCCAAATGGCTACGGGTAAAGCGGCGACGTTATTGGCGACCCAAACTGTCGGGCAAGGCCGCACTGCGCCATTAGGGGCAAACTTCCGAGAAGGCACGCAGCCGTTGGGGCGCCCCGTGGGGACCGATGAAAAACACTTGACCTCGGGCTCCCAACGAGGACGACGCACGACACACGAACGTCAAGGGACGGAAGGAGGAGCAAGAGGAGGAGGAGCAGGAAGAGGAAGGGGAGCAGGAGGAGGAAGAGAAGGAGGTGGAGGAGGAGGAGAAGGAGGAAAAGCAGGAGGAGGAGGAGGGCGGGGGAGGAGGAGGAGGACGAGGAGGACGGAGGAGGAGGATGGAGGAGGAGGAGGAGGAGGGGGAGGAGGAGAAGGAGGAGGAGGAGGAGGAGGAGAACACGGAGGGTAAAGGAGAGGTGGCGAGCGTAGAAGGCCAAAATCCGCTGACCGCCCAGGCGCTAGGTGCGCCCGAGGGCGAGGGGCGCCGACGACGACGGTGCCGACGTCGGAGGCCCACCAGCAAGCGACGGGAGGGGGGCCGCTGCGTCCATCGAGCGCACCTGAGCGGCAGGCGGGCTGGAGACGTTCGCGAGATGCAAACGGAGGGGCGAAGCAACAACCCCAGCGGCAGGGGAGGAGGAGGAGGAGGAGGAGGAGGAGGAGGAGCCACAGTCGCTTAATGACGAGGAGGAGGAGGACGAGGAGGAGGAGGCGGCGGAGGAAGAAGAGGGGGCGGCGATGGGGGGGCGCTCCTCCGCCAACCGCGGCTTCCAAGAGGAGAGAGGGAGGAGAGGGACAGAGCACGGAAAACGAGGAGGACAAGGAGGAGGACGAGGACGAGGAGGAGAAGGAGGAGGAGGAGAAGGCGGAGTAGAAGGAAGAGGAGGAGGGCAAGGAAGAAGAGGGGGACCAGGACGAGGAGGAAGAGGAGGAGGAACGAGAGGAGGACGAGGACGAGGAGGAGGATGCGGAGGAGAACGAGGAGGAAGAGGAGAAGGAGGAGGAGGAAGGGGAGGAGGAGAGAACAAGGAGGAAAAGGAGGGATGAGGATAAAGATGATGAGGAAGAGAAGGAGAAGGTGGAGGAGGACGAGGAGGAGGAGGAACCGGGGAGGACGGGAGGAGGAGGGGGAGGAGGACGAGGAGGAGGAGGAGGAGAATGAGGAGGACGAGGAGGAGGACGACGAGGAGGAGGGTCGCTCCTCCACCGACCGCGGCTTCCAAGCGGTGCCGTCGCCCATCGCCGCGGCGGCCGCGCGGGGCCCGCGGGCGGACCGCCCGCCGCCGTGCGCCCCTCCGCGGCGCGCCCGCCGCCCGACATGAAAGGCCCCGCCTTTCCGGGCGCGCGCGACTGAGCGTCGACTGGCGTCGTCTGGCGTCGA